AGTTCTGAGTCATTATTAAAATAAACTTTGAATGAACAGTTAATTCTGCTCAGGTACATCTTAACATTTTGTTATTATTTACTGCTTTGTTGGAAAATTAACTTACCACTTGCTGAAAATAATAAAAATTTAGTAAGCGCCCAGACTCGAACAAGCGCCCGCCTCGAAAAGCCGCCTACTCTCAAGGCCCAAAATTTAAAAAGCGCCCAGGACGCCTAATCGAATAAATACGGAATATGTAAGGGTTGAAGGAATGACACAGAAATATATGGAATTGTGAATTCTTTTAGCAGTAAAGAGTTCAATATATATTTTTTGAAAATTGGTCTCATTTTTTTAACTCGTCACGTACAAAAAACACTTAAACTCATGACTAAAACTAACTAAAAACACTTTAATTAATGACGAACCTTCAATAGGAGATCCACAAACGATACTCTAAACAATCCAGAAGGTAAATACAATTAAAATAACCAGCGGCACTGAGCTTTGGAATTTAGCATATTTGAGGGCCGCGAGATTGGAGATTTTAGTAAAAGGAAGCGAGCGAAACTCATGATTAATTCCATAAATGGGAAACGCCATTTGCGGATTTCGCTGCGATCAACAAGAAAAGTGTCCTGTACCTTCTAAAACCCGGTAATAAACGAAAAAAACCTTCAAAAACTTCACACATAAACGCTATCTTCATTTCTCCCTCCCCCATCTTCTCATCCGTCAATTGTAACTCAAACACATTCTCTTTCCTGACTACTTGCCACTAGTTTTCCCAAGAGCCCCAGTTCTGACTTATCTTCCCACTGGCTGACTGACACATCTATCTACTAACTACATTGTTAAATGAAATTTTCGCGACATGTTTATTTCGCGATTTTGATGTGCGCATATTTCGCGACACTTAAATCTCGCGATTTTTGTTGTATCGCGAAATTCACGAAATCAGCGTGTCGCGAAAATTTCATGTAACTAGAGGTAATCATTGATTAAGGATCCGTGTTCGTCACTCGAGTCGAGAGGAGTCCAGTTTCCCGGCCGAGATGCCTCTGATAAAATCAGCAGGGGCGGCTGATCGGCAGTCCCCCCTGATACCTTGAAAATTTGTAGCTTTGCAACACAGGAAAACCAAGATTAGGATGCGTTCTGACGAACACGATAAGGCAACTAAAAACCATAGCCTGCATAACATGCGCTTATTTTGCCTAGCGCGAGGCGTAAGATCAAGAAGAACTAGGCCAACCCTGACTAGGCTCTGGGGCTTCATGCTTCCACCTGTTTCTCGGCCTGCAGGGCCGGGCTGCGATTTCAAGGCCTCTATCCAATGGAAGATCTCTCTCTCGGAGGATGTTACCCAGCTTAGCCTTCAGCCTCGATGGTTAACATCCTCCTAGATCTGCATAATTCTTCACATCCAACTCAACCTCATTCAATAATTACTAATCAAACAGGCTATACACATTGCGCATTTGCCCATTGGAATTTTCTTGTTACCGGATTAGCATTACCAAATGTCCGGCAATTTATCAGGAACTGGTGGAAAGAAGGTCTGATTTACGCATCACAGTGGTTGGAGACAAGGTGTTTCCTGTTCGCATTGACTCGCAGGCCCTCGATGAGGAAAGAGATCGCTTAGATTGGAGACGGTGCCAAGAAAAGGAACACCTTTACACCAAAGTACAGGTACTGTTTTTTCCACTTACGGGCGTTTTACGGTTAAAAGTATTTTATTTCAGTTCTAATGTACACCTTCTTGCTCTCTTTTCGCTAGGTCATTTCCAGATTAAACCGTGACACGGCCAGAGCTTTGGATAGCCTCCGACGCATGCGTTTTTAGGGAAGTCGTATTTCCTCCCTCAAACGCCTGCGTGGAAGGCTAAGCTTTGGATCGGTAAAGATTGGTAGCGCGGTCACAGCACATGCGTGACACACGTGACTCACGCACTAGAGATCCCAAGTTTGCTCTAAGGGAAAAAAAATTTGTAGTACCCGGCATGGCAGCAGCGCAAAGCGTTTGCAAGAAAAGGGGAAGGGAATTCCGCGCGCGCGAGAAGCGTGAAAACCGCGCGAGGGGGCACCCACGCAGGCTAGAGCAAAAATGAAGTTAAAAGCCGGAGCTCTGATTTAAAGCTGATCAATATGAAATGGAGCTCGTGACATAAACTAAGCCAGTTGATTGATGCATGGAATAAAAAAAGTTATCTTGCAACTTCAATGAGCCATTGGTGCACATTTTGTCTTCTCCAAGTTAGAAAATTTAACAATCCTAAAATGACCAATTGTCTCCCACGAAATAAAATGAGTTCAAAAAAGAGATCAAATGCCCTGTAGCTTTTTTACGTTTATATTTCTTTGGACCAGTCGGTATATAATGGCTTTAAAAAACGGCTTAATATCAAAACCTCTTGGTTCACAGTGTACAATTGCAACGTTATACTGAATTCCATTGTCTCCTTACAGCTACCTGAATCCTTCACAGACAAGCTACTACAATTCCACAAAAGAGCTGGCCTGGTTTTCGCTGCGTACGACTTCTTAGAACGAGGAGAACCGGATTAGCATTACCAAATGTCCGGCAATTTATCAGGAACTGGTGGAAAGAAGGTCTGATTTACGCATCACAGTGGTTGGAGACAAGGTGTTTCCTGTTCGCATTGACTCGCAGGCCCTCGATGAGGAAAAAGATCGCTTGGATTGGAGACGGTGCCAAGAAAAGGAACACCTTTACACCAAAGTACAGGTACTGTTTTTTCCACTTACGCGTTTACCTCAAACGCCTGCGTGGAAGGCTAAGCTTTGGATCGGTAAAGATTGGTAGTATGGTCACGGCACATGCGTGACACACGTGACTCACGCACTAGAGAACCCAAGTTTGCTCTAAGGGAAAAAAACTTTGTAGTACCCGGCATGGCAGCAGCGCAAAGCGTTTGCAAGAAAAGGGGAAGGGAGTTCCGCGCGCGAGAGAAGCACGAAAACCGCGCGAGGGGGCACCCACACAGGCTAGAGCAAAAATGAAATTAAAAGCCGGAGCTCTGATTTAAAGCTGATTAATATGAAATGCAGCTCGTGACATAAACTAAGCCAGTTGATTGATGCATGGGATAAAAAAAAGTTATCTTGCAATGTCTTCTCCAATTTAGAAAATTTAACAATCCTAAAATGACCAATTGTCTCCCACGAAATAAAATGAGTTCAAAAAAGAGATCAAATGCCCTGTAGTTTTTTTACGTTTATATTTCTTTGGCCCAGTCGGTATATAATGGCTTTAAAAAACGGCTTAATATCAAAACCTCTTAGTTCACAGCGTACAATTGCAATGTTATACTGAATTCCATTGTCTCCTTACAGCTACCTGAATCCTTCACAGACAAGCTACTACAATTCCACAAAAGAGCTGGCCTGGTTTTCGCTGCGTACGACTTCTTAGAACGAGGAGACGAATTCATATTTCTAGAGAGTAATACAGATCTCTCCGCCTGGCTGTGGTTGGAGGAATTTGTTGGTATAAATGTGTCCGAGAACATGGCACGCTATCTCTTAGGAATGGAATAACCCAATTCTTTATTAGTCATAAATTGTGAAGACCGTATTTATTCGATTGAGCGCCCATCCTGTATGGAGGAAAAGTTGTTAAGCGCCCAACACCCTTCTCCCTAAAAATACTGACGTCCACAAGAGTTTTAATTATTATTTCTTTACTGCCAAATCTTCTTCTCGTCGACTGACCCATTTAGAGACGTTACGCTGTGAGATATCTACGAGGCAACACTAGAGAGTTCGCGTATTGACCTTGCTGACAATGAGATAGAAACCGACTAAGTACTACCACTAAGAGACTTTCTGAGGACCAAGTTCTGAGTCATTATTAAAATAAACTTTGAATGAACAGTTAATTCTGCTCAGGTACATCTTAACATTTTGTTATTATTTACTGCTTTGTTGGAAAATTAACTTACCACTTGCTGAAAACATAGTTAATTGAGTGGAATGGTTATGAAACCCGTCAGACTCCTTTGTTATATGTTTTTGTGGACCTGAAAGTGCACAACGTTAAAAAGAATTCTTATCATTTTGATTGTATTGACCAATAAAAACGTTGCATTAATTTATTCCGTAACAATTTGCCAACAGAAAACAAAGGATTGTGCACTTTCAGGGTGCTTCCAACATAAACTGCAGCACTGTTGTTTTTATCATTGATGTTTGCCGCTTTTCATAACCAGTCTCCTCTAATAACTATGCTGAAAATAATAAAAATTTAGTAAGCGCCCAGACTCGAACAAGCGCCGGCATCGAAAAGCCGCCTACTCTCAAGGCCCAAAATTTAATAAGCGCCCAGGACGCCTAATCGAATGAATACGGAATATGTAAGGGTTGAAGGAATGACACAGAAATATATGGAATTGTGAATTCTTTTAGCAGTGAAGAGTTCAATGTATATTTTTTGAAAATTGGTTTCACTTTTTTTAACTCGTCACGTACAAAAAACACTTAAACTAATGACTAAAACTAACTAAAAACACTTTAATTAATGACCAACCTTCAATAGGAGATCCACAAACGATACTCTAAACAATCCAGAAGAAGGTAAATACAATTTAAATAACCAGCGGTACTGAGCTTTGGAATTTAGCATATTTGAGGGCCGCGACATGGAGATTTTAGAGTAAAAGGAAGCGAGCGAAACTCACGATTAATTTCATAAATAGGAAACGACATTTGGGGATTTCGCTGCGATCAACAAGAAAAGTGTCCTGTACCTTCTAAAACCCGGTAATAAACGAAAAAAACCCTCAAAAACTTCACACATTAACGTTATCGTCATTTCTCCCTCCCCCATCTTCTCACCCGTCAATTGTAACTCAAACACATTCTCTTTCCTGACTACTTGCCACTAGTTTTCCCAAGAGCCCCAGTTCTGACTTATCTTCTCACTGGCTGACTGACACATCTATCTACTAACTACGTTATTAAATGAAATTTTCGCGACATGTTTATTTCGCGATTTTGATGTGCGAATATTTCGCGACACTTAAATCTCGCGATTTTTGTTGTATCGCGAAATTCGCGAAATCAACGTGTCGCGAAAATTTCATGTAACTAGAGGTAATCATTGATTACGGATCCGTATCCGTCACTCGAGTCGAGAGGAGTCCAGTTTCCCGGCCGAGATGCCTCTGATAAAATCAGCAGGGGCGGCTAATCGGCAGTCCCCCCTGATACCTCGAAAATTTGTAGCTTTGCACCACAGGAAAACGAAGATTAGGATGCGTTCTGACGAACGCGATAAGGCAACTAAAAACCGTAGCCTGCATAACATGCGCTTATTTTGCCTAGCGCGAGGCGTAAGATCAAGCACTAGGCCAGCCCTGACTAGGCTCGGGGGCTTCACGCTTCCACCTGTTTCTCGGCCTGCAGGGCCGGGCTGCGATTTCAAGGCCTCTATCCAATGAAAGATCTCTCTCTCGGAGGATGTTACCCAGCTCAGCCTTCAGCCTCGATGGTTAACATCCTCCTAGATCTGCATAATTCTTCACATCCAACTCAACCTCATTCAATAATTACTAATCAAACAGGCTATACACATTGCGCATTTGCCCATTGGAATTTTCTTGTTACGACGAGTAAATGCGACGGCTATACGCGTATGTTCCAAATAAATCCACCCGGAGTAAGCACGTTAATACCGAAGACAAGGCAAAACGAGTTTCCATATAACTGCCATTAGTAAGGCTCAATAGTTTCCTTTGACCAGTCTGTATACTACATGAAATAAGCAGCAGAAGAAAGGAAAACTTTTCCTTCAAAAATATCCCTCTGAGCTTATGAAAGACAGATTAATCTTTGAACTGCGTATTTTATTTCAACTACTCTTTACGCTTTTCATGTTACAAACAAGGAAATTTATCTAAACAAAAATCAAGGCCCGTTTCATTTATGTGTTATCAGAAATCGTTTGGTTCACCTGCTCTAAGTAAGGACAATTGCTAATTTTGACGCGACTAAGCTTGGACGCACTTACATCAAGATCCCGAAGGTTTGAGCACGATTCTATAGAAAGACTCTGTACACACTTCACATGTAAGGAAAATTTCTTCATACGAGGGCAATCCAGTAGGCGAAGCGCGCGAATTTCTTCGCACTTAAATCGCATTGCGCGCCCGTTTTTGCTATTTGCCAAAGAGCATTTCCCGATTATGACATGTTCAACATAGTTTGAGTTAAGCGTGATCGCGCCAATAGTCAAACCAGTAAAGTATACTGCGTCTATGCGCCGCACAGCGTTTAGCTCCACGACTAGCGGCCTCCGCCATGGATGTATGCCGGTGATTTGAATGACATTCGCCTCGATGCAGTGTACAGTGACGCGATTGGCGCAGCCGACATCGCACATTTGAAACTTTTTCAAATGCTTTGTGCGCACCTCTATATCACACCCAGCCATGTTTTTGTTGTTTCTGTGTTTTGCCGGTAAAACCTCTCCAGAGCATTTGAAATGCTCTAGAAAAGGGCAGTCTACTATTAGCTTAGAGAGACTCATGCTCACGTCACGGATGGTAAGCTGTTTCAAATTCCTACAGTAGTTACTATTGAGTTCTATTACTCCCCAGTCCACTGATAACTCCATCTGCTTTACATTTGGACATTCAGATAAGAAATCATGGAACATTTCAGACTCAATCGCCGGACAGTCATACATCAGCAGGTCATGGATGCTCTTGCAATTTAATTTGATTTTAGACAGTTGACAATTTCCTCGTAGGATGAAGGACAGTATATTTGTAGCGAGTACTTCAAGCGAGAGAATATGATGACATTCAGAAATGAGGATAACTTCCAATTTAGGCATCACGCATTTTAAGCATTTTACGTTTGTGCTCGGTAAACCTGTCAGAAACAACGTTGTAACGCTCTCAGATTTAAGAACCACGGAACTCAAAGAGCGCAAACTCCTTTCTTCTGAGACGGCCACAAAGAGCTGCTTTAAACACTTGAAATTGTCCACATAACTCACTAAGTCTTGAGTAGATAAAGGTACATAGTGTAGATCGAGGCTCACAAGAATAGAGGCGTGTTGAGAATTCATTAAAGCGTTGATAGGAGAAAGAGACGCCAGTGTATCGCTGGAAATCTCATCCATGCCGTACGGTGCACACTCAAGATGCAGCTCTTTTAAACGCAGCTGGTCAAGCACTGGTATGATCCCGTAACGATAAAGCTTGAAAATGTTGATGTTTAAAGTGAGCGATTCCAAAGATGTGAACTGCCGAGCAAGGACCCGCAAATCCCAAACCCGAATTCCGCGTCTGTGTATTCGCAAATATCGGTTGCCACTGTTGGCTCGTCTCTTTAAGAGTGCCCTGTAGTCATCGATGGTCAAGAACTTTAAAACCGGAGCACTTTTTAAAGACTGCGCGAAAACTCTACTCCAGGAAAGCACGGGTACATCTAGTCTTGTTAAGTTCGGAAGCGTTAGAAGTAACCGCCTGAGTTCGGGGCGAATAAAAAGCGATTGATCTTCTGCTCTGACACACTGTATAAATTGACGATACCTCTTTAAACAGTTTTGCAGTACCCTGGCATATTCGTCCTCCAAAGTTTCTCTAGCATCTCGATCGTCGTGCAAGTGAATGTGTCTCCAAAGAAGTCCGGTGTTCTGAATAATGCGTTCCCACCTTCGGCATATGATAGAATATCCAGCAAGATCTTCATAGATTGGATGAAGATAGGACAGTATTTGTGCGATAATTTCATCTGGAACAATGTCCATGATATCGCTCTAAAGTACGAACAGCTTTTTTTTGCATGAGAACGACTGTGGATTATGACGAAAACATCGTTGGGATTTACTCGCGCAGTTGAATGATTTTTCGCTCGCGCTGTTGTATCCTGCGTCAACAGTTTTAAATTTTCGGCGCGCGCGCTTTCAGCCTTTTACATTACTGTTTTCGAATCTCCCATAATACACTCTGTTTACCCCCAAATTTGCATAAGTTATTATTTTCACATGCTCTAGGGAACATGCAGTCCCCACAGGAGCATTTGAAAACAACAACTTATGAAAATTTGGGGGTAAACAGAGTGTATTATGGGGGATTCGAAAATAGAGAATTGTAAGTTCTGCTATGCACATTCCCGTGTGTTTCAAAAGTGAAGGTTCATGTTCCGCAAGGCTTTAAGTTCAAAAATACAAACAAGCATAAAAATCAGCTCGTACTTCTCGACAAAACTAAGAGTCAGCTACCTCTTTTGCTCATCCGTTATAAAAAAACCCAGACTGTTTGCTGTTCCAGCCATAGCAATGGCTTCCATAACATGTCTATAATAGCTTTGAGAAGGCAGTGTAAATGTTATTTCGAATATTTCTTCCAGATGTCATCTAACTTTTTCGTCTTTTGACAAATCCCAACGTGTGACCATTTAAACGAAACCTTTTCGGCAGCGCCGAGTTTTTTGCTACTGTTGTTTCTGTATATCTGCTGCTGTCGTTTATTACTTTATAGGTTCATATACAATGTGAAGGTTTGTCGTGAAATGCATCAATGAATTCA